CACAGAGAAATCATATCTGCTCGAAAATTAGGCAAGTCATATAGACAAATTGCCAATCTTGTTGGTTGTGATCCCAATACTGTTGGGAATGTGTTAAAACGACTTGACAACCCATCTCAAACATTACCAGATCGTCGAGGAAGGCCACCAATCTTAGATGAATCAGCACACAATCGCTAACACAGCTTGTTCTAAATAATCACCGTATGACTAAAAGAGATATTCAAGCTGCATTGGAACAGCAAGAAGAAAAAGTAATAGTTTATTTTTTTTTTAATTTGATTTTTTTTTTTTTATCTATTTTATTTATTTATTTTTTTTTAATTTTATATTTTATAGATAATTTCCCAAAAAACTATTAGTCGTACTCTTCGGAAATCTAACCTGTTCGCATATGTTGCTTGCACAAAGCCCTTCATTAATAGCAAAACTAAAAAAGAGTGTTGAGATTGGGCAGAAGAGCATCTTCACTGGGTGACCAAAGAATGGAAGAATGTTCTTTAGTCAGATGAAAAGTATTTTTGTTTAATTCGTCCTAATCCACACCAGTATGTATGGAGAATACCACACAAAGAGTTTGATGATGATTGCCTTGTTCTGGCAATTAAATCTAAAGGGGTTATGATGTAGAGATGTTTTTCTTGGTGGGGTCTTGGCCCTCTTGTCCATCTCTATGGCAGTGTCACAAGTGCATTCTATCATTGAACGCTTAGTCGTTATGCTATTCCCAAGCTTTAGGACCAATACCCCAACAGTAATGGGATATTTCAACATGATGGTGCCTCGGTCCACAGGAGCAAGATTGTTAAAAGATACTTAGCTAACAAGGATATTAAAACATATTTATATTTGCAGGTTTTTTAAGTAACGGCTATAACTAATTACTTTATTTAACTCGGTCCAAAAAAAAGATACCTGACAAATAATTGTAAAATTATTAAAATTTTACATAATTCTGTATGCGAAAAGTTTCAGTAAATTAAATTTAACATAATCGTTGAACATACGTATTAATTTGTCAATAAATTACAGAATCCTATTTTTTATTTTATTTCTTATTTTATTTTA